TCATCCGATAATTGTAATCAGTTCCTATTACTTTGAATAGGCCTACATAAATTGCTTGACTTATAGTTTTCATTATTTGTATACAAACAAAATTTAATGAGGTGAAATAAATTTGAACGAAAAGAATATCAAATAATGAATTTTGTATTGTTAATTTACAAAAATTAAGATCATAGCTTTCAATCTGATTGTAATTGATTTAACTAAAAATTCATAGTAAATGTTATGTTGAGAAGAATGTATAAGATTTTTGCAATAAAAATGATTGGAATAAGCGTTACGTGTGGTGATAGCGGAATTCTGGCGAAAGGCTTTGTTTGTTGTTGGTGTTAAAAAAACTTTCGTTATGATTTTTTTTGAAAAAAAAAAAAATAAAAAAAATAAATAAAAATAATGGAGACGCCCAATTAACCAGTAAGTTTGTAGTGTGTAAAACTAATGTAGACTTTTCAAAATTGTTTTTTGTTTGTGTTGTTTATGTGGAGACTTGAAGTTCGTGCTGCCAATGTATTTTTGTTTGTCAAAACGTTTTGAATAGTCATAACCTTAAATATTGATTAAATCATATAAAGCTGCACATACAATTCGCGCTTAAAGAACTAAAAAATATTGTTTATTTTTTTATTCGAAATCATTCAATTTCAATAGTAAAATGTCAATTGGCGTTCCAATTAAGGTATTACACGAAGCAGAGGGTCATATTGTCACATGTGAAACAATAACCGGTGAAGTTTATCGTGGCAAACTAATCGAAGCCGAAGACAACATGAATTGTCAAATGACTCAAATTACAGTCACTTATCGGGATGGCCGCACAGCCAATTTGGAAAATGTTTATATTCGTGGTTCTAAAATTCGCTTTATGATACTGCCCGACATGTTGAAAAATGCACCGATGTTCAAAAAAGCCGGCCCAAAGGCAGGAACGGCCGGCAGGGGTAAATCAGCACTACTGCGAGCGCAAAGTAAGTTCTACTTCTTAGAAAAATCTTTTTTGACTTGATTATTGTGTGTATTAATAAATATGTACATTTAATAATAAGTAATAAGTATGAAAAAATGAAAATAACACATAAATTCAATTTAGCGGCATCTAGAGGGAGGGGTGGTGGACGAGGTGCTGCAGGCAGTTCCAAAGGAACTGGAGCTGGTCGTGGTGGTGCTTGGCAAGGTGAGTTTTAATTTCTACTTACATTTCTTTACGTTCATTTACGTTCAAACGAACAAACTATCTGTGAAAATGAAGAGAAACAAATATATACATATTTTCACTCATTTTCTGAAATAAAATTTTTAAAACCCAAATCCTTTTTTTATTAATAGGCGGTCAAAATGCTGGAAGGGGAGCTGGAAGAGGTGGCTTATAAGATAGTTGCTTTGTCAATTATGGAACATTTTCCCTTCAAATACACAGATACACACAAACTTCATATAAATGTTTATTCATAAGTTTCTTCATAAAATACAATAAACTGTTTGAAAAAAAAACATAGAGTTATATTTGTTTCTGCTTGCGTTTCGTTTTAATGGTTTACGATGTTTCCAATACATTTGGAACAAAGGAATGGAGGATGTTAAAGCCACTATGTAAGATGCATACTTTTTTTATTCCACAATCCAGTAAAAAGTGAGCAAACTGAAAATAAAATAAAATAAAAAACGTTAGAAGAAAAAAAATGTGAACAATTTAAGGTTATGCAAATACATACCAAAATAGCACTTTCATGCAAATTGTTAACGACCACAACATTTCTATTGGCCAAAACCATTTCTAAATCGGGAACACCAAGTGCGTCTAATCTAATATCACTTAGGGATATTGAGGTAAACGGAATATTGATGCTGTCTCTTAAATGAGCTCTATTGAAGTCTAAATGACTTCGAATGTCAATGACCATGACCTCTCCAGGCTTTTTATTATTTAATTCAATTAAATCATTTGCACTGATTCGAGGACATCGTTCATTTTGTAAATCATTCAATTCGATGTCGTTTATCTCCTGGTGAAATTGAAAAATTCGTACATTATTACTCAATTCAAGGAAAGAAAAAGAGAACATACAAATTCATCGGGTTCATTGTTATTCAATTGTTTTGCATATTTTCTAAAAGTTATACTTTTTGGCGTAGAAAGATACATTTTTCGAGATTCAATTACGCATGTCTCCATCACAATATCTGGGAGATCGGAGAATAATAAGATGCAATCGTTGAAACAAGAACTTAACAAAGTGGTTTTCAATTGTTCCAGGATCGATATTCCTTATTAAAAAAAGGAAATATTTGATATAATAAGTGTGGTTATTATTATTTAAGTCAAATTTACCGATGAAAAGGACCTTACCAATGAAAAAAGGGTAGGAGCTATCACCCAATAATAGTTTGTCCCATAAATGTATTATCTTATGTAATGGAAAAACATCTGGAATTATGGAATTCCATATATAAATATATAATATTATTTTGAATGAGAACTATATAAACTGTAAAAAATGCTCTTACGTGAAAACATTGTTAAAAACCAAGGAATTGCGAAAAGTTCAGGTATAAAATTGATTTCTCGCATATGATTAGATAAATTTGGCTGCCAAAATGCAACCAATTGAGAAAATTTATTAAGATATTCTTTAATAACCGGAGAGTTGTCCTTCAAAAAAAACCATTGCAAATATTTCGGAATAAATTTGTAAAGACATAGAAATGCTCGTTCTGAAAGAGAAAAAAAATTGATTTAATTTCCAAATGATATATATATATTATATATACAGGGTGCGTCATAATAACTGTCCCTTTTTTTCAATCGT